GGGCCCTCTGACCACCACCAGTATTATGTATGTATATGTAGATGTTTGAAAGTGTGTGAGTATGTACATAGACGTGGGTGTGGGGGTATATAGTGTCACACAGTGACCCTCAGAGTGTGTGAGCTCAGAGGGGAGGCACAAATATGGAAGAAGTCTCGACCTAAAAGTGTTTAACATGATGGTTTGTGTGCTGTGCAGACGCCAGCCTTGATCCGTGTTTATTGTTAAAGAAAAGCTGTGACTAAACTGGTTATCATGGATGGATCTTTGATGTCTTTACGTCACCGCCGCCGTCATGCTGCCGTCGTCATGCTGCCTGCAGCGAGGAGTTTTGACTGTGTCACGTGTGTGCCCACTACACCTGCTGTCTGCGAAGACATTAATATTATTACTTATTGATGTCATGTATTGATCTGCCTGTTTCCTTCTCCTCAGTTTCTGCAGCCAAAGACGCCGAGGGCATCTGGATGATGAGGCGTGCTCAGAACACGGTACGTACCGGAAACCTGCGCGGGACAAAAATGACAGCCTCTGATTAAAAAGTCAAAAATGATGGACGATCATCAATAATAATTGATTCAATCAGCAGATTATTGATTTAGCACTAGCTTTAGCCTGCACGTGTATCGACACGTTAGTCAGCCAGTCAAACGAGACGGAAATGTTCAGCACAGACGAGAGCCAATCAGAACTGAGTTGTGTAGAAAGGTGTGACGAATGTGGAAGTGGTCCAATCAGAAGCGACCTTCCTGCGCAGTCAGGTTTGATCTGCCCAGGAAGCAGTTCAGCTAGCTTCCTGTTTCTCACAAAACTGCTTTCTGTCTCCAGACGGTCGACGCCAAGAAGCTGGAGAAAGCCGAGGCGAAGCTGAAAGCCAAACACGAGCGCAGGAGCGAGAAGGACTCGCAGAAGGCCTCCAGCCCACTGTGAGTCCGCCGTCCACCTGCCGTCACCTGCACACACCTGTGCCCCTCTCACCTGTCCTCCTGTTTCCTCAGAGTCCTGGAGGAGGCGTCGGCCAGTCAGGCCAGCAGTAAGAAGGACAGCCGAGTCGACCAATCGGGGAAGAACCGCAGCTACGACATCCGCATCGAGAACTTTGACGTGTCCTTCGGAGAGAGGTGAGCGCTCGGAAAACACCAGCGGGGCGCAGCGGGGCGGGACGGCTCGTTTTCTCACACCGCCGTTTGTGTCTCAGATGTCTGCTGCAGGGGGCGGAGCTGAGTCTGGCGTCGGGCCGGCGGTACGGCCTGATCGGCCGCAACGGCCTGGGGAAAACGACGCTGCTGAAAATGCTGGCGAGTCGCAGCCTCCGTGTCCCGGCTCACATTTCCATCCTGCACGTGGAGCAGGAAGTGGCGGGGGACGAAACGTCGGCGCTGCAGAGCGTCCTGGAGAGCGACACGGTGCGGGAGGACCTGCTGGGCGAGGAGAGGAGGCTGAATGCTCGCATCGCCAACGGAACGTAAGAAAAACGCTCTGAGGCGTGGCTCGCAGAACACATTTAATTCAGCTAATGAGAGCACAGCAGGCGGCGTGTTTGTCCAATCAGCTGCAGCCGTCTCTGACGTGTGTTTCAGTGCCGACGGGATGGAGAGCGTGCGGCTGTCCGAGATCTACGGAAAGCTGGAGGAGATCGAAGCTGACAAGGCGCCGGCCCGGTAACTATGACAACCGCACCGACACGCTGCTGGTCTTCTTCACTGGTGTTTTTCCAGCTGACAGGAACGATTTCTCCTCGTCCTCTGCTGCGATCCTCCGAGGCGGCGGCGTGTTCGAGGCTCTGTGATAAAGTCGTACACGTCCGTGAGCTCGGTAATGCCGCCGAGGTACCCAGGTACGCCGCGTTAAATCAGCCCCGCCCACAGAACACAGTGCGTAACCACAGAGTCTACATCGGGCTGGAAAACATAGCCGCCGTGATTATTGGGATCCAGATGTGAGGAAACAAGTCTTAACGATGAGCCAGCGGTCGGCGAGAGCAGGGCTGACACGGCGCCCGACGCCACGCCTCAAAACCTCATCGAAAACCTTTAAATCTGCTGATGAAGTGAAACTTAAGGCGGCGCCGTGGTTCTGGGGTTGGTGCTGCTGCCGCACAGCAGTCTGCGAGGGTTGCGCCCATAGTCCAGTCACATGCATGTCCGACATAGGCTCCACCCCCACCGACCCTGAACAGATGCAAGTTAAAGGTTTAAATCCGGTACAAGCCTCTCGCTGATCATCACGTCACTGAGCACGTGTGACGTCTGAGCGTGTCCGTTTACCTGTGTGATGAAGGGCGCGCTCGAGAATCGAGACGCTAGTCAGCACAGATGTGGTGA